TAGTTACACAATTTACAAAATACACATCCTGTCCTGAGGATTTAGCAGCCGGGTATATATTGCACAGTTATTAACGGCATATATATATTGCACAAATACCTTTACCCAATTATAATGTTTACAGTATAGAGCTTTAACACACCATGATGCATCTCTATGGACCATATCAGCTGAGGTTAACAAGCTTTAATTGATTTCAACACCGATTTGCTGTTTGCAGTGCACAATTATCAGGGATAAAATGGGGTGCGTCCCTAACCTAACGTTGGCTGGCAGCGACCTAGCACAGAAGAATCCCTTCTTGTGACAGCCTTAGTACCGAGTGTGTCTGTATTAGGGGTGGGAATGATTAATCGAATATTCAAAATTATTCAGGTATTCGAATAGGAGTTATGAATATATATTTTTTTATTGTAATTTCTTTTTATCTTTTATTTTGGGAGGGGTGCCTAAGTTGATTACATATTATCAAATGGAATAATTCAATGTATACGACAGTGCCATAGCTAAGTGTGTTCGGTCTAACGGTGTGTTTTGCTCCGTTCACCGGTCCCTCACAGCGGGCAGAGCTGCAGGTGCTGATCTCTCTCGCGTCCGGTTATACTTCACTCGCGTTTATGTCCAAATCCATCAGATCTAGCTAGTTCTAGCTAATGATATGGCTGCTGCCCCTCCCTACACGCAGATCACGAAGACTCAAACCTCATCTAACCTCTAATTTCCACCGGTTCAGTCTGCGTCGCGTTACGGTCGCGTTACGGTCGCGTTACGGTGCGAGGTTCCGGCGCTAACGGCCCGTCCACACAGCGGCGTGCGTTGAAGCTTGCCGGCGGGCGTGTCTGAAACTCGACCAACAACCAATCACATGAATCTCCCGCCCCTGACACACAAGCAGCGGTTTGATTGGCTAGAGCTTGTACTGGCATATGATTCGATTGGCTGACGCTTCTGCCGAGGCTTCAAAAGTTGAACATTGCTCAACTTTTGCAGCGAGCCACGCCAGCAAAGCTCCGCGTCGCTTCCCACAATGCAGTTAGGCGAAAAGTGACGTCACCCCATTCAAAGTGAATGGTGAAGCTTTCAACGCACGCCGCTGTGTGGACGGGCCGTAACAGTTCACGAGCATGCTTCCCCCCGTCAACGCTCGCGACACATGAGAGAACAATGAAAGACGGTACAGAAAACTCAGTGTCCTGGCGAAGGAATACCTTGCTGTACTCGCAACCTCCTTTCAAGCTGAGAGGGTCTTCTCTATAGCTGGCCTGATTGTGAATCACCTCCGCACCTGCCTCTCCCCTGAGCATGTAGACGTGCTCATATTCTTAAACAATGAGTATTGAATAGCTGCATTCTGCAAACATTTCGGTTAATCGATTAACCGTTTTTTTGGGGGTCGAATATACATTTGCTTTCAAATTCCCATCCCTAGTCTGTATCCATTACATCACCTCCTAGTTTACTTCCTGGCCTTATTTTCTTGAAGCTTGAAGCTCTTTGGCTAGGTCTATCTCTCTGAGAGATCTCCCACTAGACACTGATGTAAGGCTAAGCTTTGGATTGCAGTGAACAAATGGTTTTGTTCAGCAGTAAAGCTACTTTGACACCCCCCACTCACACACTACTTTAGTGCAGGCATCTTGAACCAGTGTACTGAATGTTGAAGGACTGGCTGAGTTGTACTTAAGGTTTGACCACAGTTGATTAACAGGATTTTGTGTGGACATACTGGTATTTAGAGTCAAGAATTTAAGGATTAACTATAAGTTGATGGCTGGTCATGTAACATTAGTCCAACTGAATTTGATATAGATGTAACTAGCAATGGCATTTTGTTTTTGCAGCAATTATTTTTGACTTCCTGTAGATTTTACTCTCAAATGGATAATATAGCTTCCAATTACTGTTAATTTAACATATTTGTTGGAATACTTTTTAATTCTATATTGCTTGAGAAGGAACCTACAGTTCAATGTTATGGCTCTTTATTTCAGCTGATATTCCAAAAACAATGGAACTTTTTCCTAGTATTTTAACACTTTGTTAGTTGGAATCTGCTTTGAAATGTGTACACCTCATGTGTTGTCTCCCTCAGTGGAGCCTGCAGAGAGGATACAGAGAGTTTATAGAATAGAATTGGAGGGATGAAACCCCTCTTTAATGGTCACACAGTGCAATTTGGCCTCTGCATTTAACCCATCCTAGTACCAGGAGTCTAGTACTAGGAGCAGTGTGCAGCTATTGTACAGCGCCCAGGGAGCAATGGGAGTGGGGGTTGTCCGGTGCCTTGCTCAAGGGCACCACGGCAGGGCCCAGGAGGTGAACTGGGAACCCTCTCAAGTAGCAATCCACACTCCATATTTAGGTCTGTTCAGGGACTTGAATCGGCGACCCTACGGCTCACAGTCCAAGCCCCTACTGACTGAGCCACTGCCGGAGAGAAGAAGGGAGAGTGCTCTGTAGGCATGGACCACATTAGAGACAAATCCAATACAGCAGAACTGCATTTCCTCTGCTCCCCTTTAGAAATGTCAAACACCCACACAAGCCTCTCAGGCCCTATACACCCCCCTCCCCACTATCAAACATATACCACTCTGTTAGCAATGCTACAGGCTTCTGTGTAAATGATCTTCCTACACACACTTTGTCCTACTGTCAGGGTGCGTGAGAGTGCTCAAAGCAGGCTGAGCAATAATAGGATGCAGCTTCTACCTTTTTTCTGAATCACTATCATTGCTCTCATCCTTAACGTTAAGCCTGTCATCACTGCTGTCTTACTCCACCAAGAGCCATTCAGAGGACTTAACCACCATTTTCTCTTTTTGTATGACAGTCTGAGGATTGTGGTGTTAACTGCATGTTGAATTCTAGACTACCTGAACTACAAGTCTCTGTAGCAGCTGACTGTGATTCAGAAAAGAAGAGGTAGTGTTTTATCTGCGGCACAAAGGGTTGGTTCCGGTTAGCACGTTTGACACTGTATTCGTATTGCTCATACAAAAGAGCTACAATGGTGGGGCCAATTAAATATAATGAGCCGTGTGGGTTGTCAGTGCTACTGTTATCATGACATGTGGCTTTTATCAGAGCTAAAGATAATTGCAGATCTAGGGCTGTGCAATTAATCGTATTTTAATCGCGATTACGATTATGGTTTGCGACGATTATGAAAACAGCATAATTGACAAAATACGATTATTTTGCTGGGTGCGCTTTCGCCCCTCCCTAAAAGCCCACTCGGCCACGTGGGAGTGACATGTGTTGTGAGTGTTCAGCGCGAGCGAAGATGTCAGAACAAGAGCAGCAACTCGTTAAAAAGAAGCGTAAAGCTATTTCCACTATTTGCAAGTACTTCGCCATTACATTCCACATCGCTAAAGATATGTGCCCAGTTAGCACTGTTAGCAACCAGGGCTTTAAGCAACTTGTCAACACGTTGGACAAGCGTTACGCGATGCCGTCTCGGTATTATTTCAGCAGGTCTGCGCTGCCTGCACTATATGACAAATGCCTGGTCTAGCCCAGGGGTGCCCAACCAGTCGATCGCGAGATGTGTCTAAAAATAGAACAACAATATTCTGTTTTATCGTTAATGTCCTGTAACATAATCTTCCTGTGCCAGAATAATGCACTTGAACGCATCAAAGCTTTGTGATTGGCCGGCGTCACCCCATGTGTCGGGGCGTGGCTAAGGGTCTTCAGTACAGGTGGCAATATCGTCACCTGCCTGCGCTCATCTCTGAAACCAGACCATGTAAACAGGCTGGTGTTTCTTGCAAAAAATCTTTAAGAGATGACACGAGCAGCCCTACCAGCATTTGCCATGGTGGCCTAAACATTTTTATTTGGTCTTAAATTGTAGTTCAACATTTATTTCCTGTTACTTCTGGACCATGACGGTTGGCCAGCCTTCAACGTTTAACTGAGTGGAATATGTTGAATATGTTTTACCAAAATGTTGGCTATATGTTAAGGAGTTTTCAGTAGGTTGTGACAGTGCACTGCAACATGTTTGATTTCATTTATTTTGGTCTAATTTATTTTTATTTATCATATTAATAATATATGTTTAGTATGGTTTTGGAAGAGCGCTCCAACATATTTGTTGATCTTGTTTATTGGTAAAATATTATTTGTTTTAAAGTTCAATAAATGGTCAATGAATAATCGTCAAAATAATCGTGATATCAATTATTGACCCAAATAATCGTGATTATGATTTTTGCCATAATCGCACAGCCCTATGCAGATCAGTAAATATTTTGTTTCACCAAAGCCTGGTTGAGATTCATGAGTCTCGAGACAAATGAAAGCAGACAACTTGAACACACTGCACCTCGACAGTAAAATCCATAAAGACCTTTATTTATCTGCACCTTTTTATCGTTCCTCAAGTGGCTGATTTTACAAATACCATTTGATTATACTAAATAAATAGTGATTCAAGCATGGAATTCTTTTTAGATTGTTGTTTTTTAGAGTTTTGTAGGCAGACATTTATTCTAGTGAGACTGCATTACATTACAAATGTAAATTGCTAGCCATTAGTAGCTCGTGGCCTTTTAGTGTGCTGCTCTTCACTGTTTGGGCTGCATTATCCATGCAGTATGAAATGAAGGTGTAGCTGAGCAGTGAATGAACTATAACATTGTTTATGGTTTAAATCCATTTTCAGTCATTCAGCATTTAATTATTTCCAGTAGGTTTTTCAAACGTAACCCTAAATTACAGTCATTTTTACTTTATTTTCTAAGATTGGTTATTTTCTTCGTGTGATGTCCATGTTGGATTTCATACTGACACCTATCCTACTATATTTATTGCATTAAGTCTTTAACGCCAACAGTCAACATGGCCTTGGCATATTCATAACACACCGGCATCATCAATGTCACATGCAGAGTACTATACTGAAGTATGTGGCTAGAGTGAGACACTGTACAGTAATTTGTTTTATTCCTAAGATTCTCTTGTTTTTCTCCCTCTTTGCTCTTCCCAAGATGTGGCTAATGGCAGTACGGGCTACAGGCCTCCTCCCAGGACGAAGGAGGTGGTAATCAACGGCCAGACAGTCAAGCTGAAGTATTGCTTCACCTGCAAAATCTTCAGACCACCACGTGCCTCCCACTGCAGCCTCTGTGACAACTGTGTGGGTGAGTGAAAGTGATATTCACTGGCTGCGAGCTTGCATGCTTGGCTGAGATGCTTGGCACCCTTTCCGTCACTGCATTTGTACGGCATTTGTTTAGAGAACTTACTAGAACAAGTGCAGACTATTATTACAATATACTAAACTAGGCTTTACTACAGGGATCTGCTTCTTCAGAGGAACGTACTTTGTAACTAAAGAACATGGTGTCTTATTATTGCTAATGTCATTCTTTCACTCTTCCCCTTAAATGAAGATGTAATTGCAGGTCTTTGCATATAGTATTACACATTTTATTATTAGAAGTCGATAGCTCTACTTAGAAAAACAAGTTTTGAGTAGCCTACTTCTTCTTCCACGGCCAATAGCAGCACTGTTAGTTAGAGAAAGGGGGAAAAGTAAAGAAAGACTGGTGTTTGCCTAAATCATTGATTCCAACCCAGGCATACACCAGCCAAGAAGCAGACAATCACCAAGCCATAGTTATATCCAGTTAATGAAAACACCTCCTATTGATGTGTATTAAACATGGGTCCGTATAGATCTGATGAACAGATACACTGCTGCTTCACCCCCCCCCCCCCCAAACCTGCACATAAACATACATTTAAAATCCACACAATTCAGACAAGTCGGAAATATCGTGGTTAACCCGATTTAACAAAAACTGAGATGAGAACACAAGGCAAGACAAATGGTTAGTTTATGATGCAAATCCACCGGGAATATACAGTACACATGCTTGGAGGCATCCACATCCACACTGAGGAGAGGGAGGGAATAGTTACAAAGACAACAACAGAAAGAAAACGGCTACATAATAGCTGAGTTTGCGGCTCTTCACAACCACATGCCCCATCTCTGGAGACAACGTGAAGAGCATAGCTAGGCAATGTATGAAAACACACAGGTCTGTATCTTTCTCATCAGGGGTTTTGTTCTCCTTCTCTGAATGTCTGTTCCCCTGTCAGAAGTGGGGCTGACAGAAAGCCAGGGAGAATAAGATGATGAGGAAGTAGTAAACACAGGAAACAAGATGCAGAGGTGGTAATCTGAGGCGGCAGAGGCACGCTGGCAGGAAGGAAGACAGACTGGCAGCTGAACAAAAAGATGGGAGGGCAGTCATTTTCAAACAAAGAGTTGTTGTGCACATTTGCGGTGGGTTGTTAGATTCCAAGATGAAACTGGTAGAGCTCACTGTTTAATTTAAATCGTACTCAAACTCAAGACATCCTGCATTAAAACAGAGTAAAATAAACGAGTGACACGTATAAGCCGGTATAATTACAGCAACTGTCTTTTTAGACTTTTTCAGACCGATCATGGATACTGAACGGTGGGATAAAATGAATCCAAAATCCTTGGAGATGAGGTTTAAATAGTTTTTTTGGGTTATGGAAGTTGAGAACCACAGATGGGAGGGAAATGAAGAAGGAGAAATAGACACACATAGTTGGACTATTGTCTCTTTTATAAAGACTTTTATCCACTCAGCTCTCAAAGTTTTCTGGCCCTTTCCAAAGACTGTAAAGCAAGGGAAATCCTATTCATGTTTTTATAATCAGTAGCAACAAAAGAACTTGCTCTTTACCTGGACATGTGGCTCACATTGGCAGTGCAAAAGTGGTACGAGTGCGTCCCTTGTCCCTTTACTTCTGTGTCTACCCCAGGGGCCACATGCCAGGGGCCTATCAAGCTCTTACATAAGTTAGCAGGCAGGATGGATAGGGCCTCCCTTGTGGAAGTGCAGCATAAGAATATGGTGGAGGCTCTTCCTTTTTAAAAGGGTTATCCCCGTGGGAGTGCTAGAAGAAGCTTATAAGAGTGCAGAATTATGACACACACTTCTAAGCTTTGCCCTCCTCTTAGTTTCTCCTCACAGTATATACTGTATTAATGTCTTACATGGTCTCACTGTTAGGGTTTTGAATTCCAGTTGTTGATAAATATTAGTGGTTGTGTGGGCAGAGGGTTGGGATTTTAGTGATTGATTTTTAGAGGGATTTAAGGTCCGTCTGCTGCTGCTTTTGCCCCTGATTTGCCTAATTAAAGACATTAGATAAAGATGGCACTCTTGGGGAAATATAGTGCTATGTAAGCAAACAATAAAATACAACAAAAGAAAATTGGCCCATAATTAAGAATATATTAGATCATTATGAAACCTTTAGAGTTGCTTGTGCAAGCTTTTGGTTTTGCTTTGAAGCCATCACCGACGGGATGATGCTAATAAGCCTTCAGCTGACACACCTGTTATCCATTGGTTGTCTTTCTTAGCATGATTGAAAATGAAACTTACAACAAACCTGCGTCTGTCATTTTTTAGAGTTGTTTTAGTCTTATATTTCTTGAAAATCATGGACGTATTCTTTAGAAATCCTATCATTGACACATGGAGATAAGCAGGGTAGTGGGCTAGTGCGCTCATCACCAGCTCCATCCCGCCCTGACCCCCCTCAATTGCTTCTGTGGGTATTGTCCACAGTATTGATGTATTGCATATCTGATATATGAAATGTGTAATATAAAGGGCTTTGAGCACTAAATGCATGAATTATTATAAACACATACAGAAGAACATCTCCTAGGAGGGTTGGTCACTTAATATTCATCGCCATAGCTGCAGGCCGTGATAATCCCATTTGACCAGAGTTAGTTTTGTCCCCTTTCATCCTGTTGGGCTGAAGGCTGCGTCTCACAGTCACACCTCTACCAGGCTTTGATTCATGAAGATAAAAGCAGGTCATTTCACTTCACTAAACAAATAATGAGTCTTAATTAATTAGTTAAGTAGCTACCGCCTTGCACAGCTAGTCGTCACTGTCAGAGATAGGATTGTGGACTGATTGAATAACAGCGCTCACAATAAGCCCTCTACGCTTTTACAATCAGTGAAAAGATAAGTGTGCTGGAGCTCTGTTTCTTTGATTGAAATACCATTCATTATCACCTGAAAGCATTTCAGATTACATTTACTTAATGCACTTCAGGCTGTATTCAAATACATATTTCAGGTACTTTGCAGCAAGTATTTCTAAATTCCAGACATTCATTTATTTACCTAAACAACTCGGATACATTCAGAAGAAGAGGCTCCTCTGTTCGAAACAATACCAGCCTGTTCAGCTGCACAGTCTGTACCAAGGGGGCTGGCAGCGCATCAGGGTCAACGTATCCCTCCCTGTCTGCCTGATCTTTATTGAAGGCAGTCTGAACAACACTTTTATTTTACCTTTTTTACTTCATTTTTGCTATTTCTAAATGTAGGTCTTACCGAAGACAAGTGCTCCTTTACCTACGTAACCTTGCAGAGTTTTCAGCCAGACACAGTCATGTTTGCCCTGTAACTTTTATTAGTTTGTGCAAACTGGCTATTTATATCAACTATGTGAAGAATGTGTACATTTTTGTGCCAAGACCCAGAGGGACACATCCTGATTTCCCACAGCTCCGTACTCATCGTTTGTGTTTACATCTATGGTTTACATGCACTGAAGTAAACCTGTTTCTATGTTGTTGTTTTTTTTAATGAGAAACCTGGTTTTATTAATTGGGTATTAAGGTTTTCTGGATAACCCAGATTTGTACATAAAACCGGTTTCTGGCAGGGTTCTGACTCGAGTGCATGTACATGACAAAGTCTTCAGACTGGAGAAATGTCACTGCTGGCAGTTCTTTGTAAAAAGGGAAAGACTACATGTGTGTGTTCTTGAATCCAAAATAAAGGTTTCTTACCCTCCGTCCGTGTGTCTCTCTCCGTCCATGCAGAGCGTTTTGACCACCACTGTCCCTGGGTGGGGAACTGCGTGGGAAGGAGGAACTACCGTTTCTTCTACATGTTCATCCTCTCGCTCTCCTTCCTCACCATCTTCATCTTCTCCTTCGTCATCACACACATCATTTTGCGTAAGTTATCTGAGCGTAACGGGTACAGGATATGTGCTGGTACAGACACACACACTCCTCCTGGCTCTGCTCTCGGTGTGTTACAAGCCAGCAGGTTGTAAGTGGGCGTTGTGAAAAGCTGCAGCTTTCTGGCTTGTTACCATCTTTCCAGCTGGGAGCAGGCGGTGGACTGTTGGGCTCCCCATCGTGTTGGTGTGTGTGTGCGCTTGTGTATCATAAATGATAGTCATTGGATCAATGTTGGACTGCTGATTAATCTTCTTTTAGTGCGTCTTTGATTGTAACCATGCTGTGTTCACTCAGTTAGTGCTGTCAGATTTGGCTAAAACTACATTGCAGCAATTTCAATTGTTTATTTTTATATGTTTTTCCCATTGGGGCTCAGACCAAGTAGCACATATCATAATCAGTTCTTGTTGTAAGATTACAGACAGTTCAGTTGTGTTGAAGTGAAGGTAAATCCTACAGCCACATGCTATAATAGGCCTTCACTTAATTGTTGCTCTGTCCCCTGCCTCCTCCTTCATCTTCACACCAGAAGTAAAAAGTTGCCGGGCCGCTCTAAACGAACTACACCGTGGGTCGCATTATATCACGTGACCACAACTAAGTAGATGAGGTTTACTGTGTTTGGTGTCGTGATGTTTGATGTCCCCAACAGCCTCTGTAGTCTCATTGGCCACTAGCTAGTGACTGTCTTTTTCTTCTAAATTAATAAAGGGGTTATTTATCATTGTAGTTTAGATAAAACAACATACTGACTAATTGACTGCATTTTTGACTTATTCCTGCAACAGTCTGTAGTGTTAGCAGGTGTGTGTGTGTAATGGCTAAATACATTGTAGTGGTCTAATGTAAACTCTGTCTCTCTCTCTCTTCACAGGCTCCCATCGAAGCGGGTTTCTCAAAGCACTCAAAGATAGTCCTGCTAGATATCCTTTCACTTGGCCTTTTGGCATTTACGCTGGAATGTGTGAAGTGTGATTGTCTGATTTTAGCTGCTGTCTGTCCATGATATCCTCTCTTTCCACAGTGGCTAGACTTAAGTGCCCAGTGAGGGCCTTTACAGGTCATTCAGTAGGTCAGAATTAATTTGCATAACGTGCCTTTTCAAAGCATTCCCATGAACCGCTCCTGCCATCTTTTGCAGTTATAGTACTTGATTAGTCATGTTCCATCAGGGTAACACAGCTCGCGAGGCAGATCCTCACTCTGTCTGTCTATTGACGCGGTGGGTCTTTGATTTCATCTGACTCTAACGTGCCCCCTCTCCCTCCACTGAGATGTCGTGAGAGTGATTTGATATGAGGGCGGGTCTGTCCGAGTGATAGGTGCCAAGTGTGTGCGAAACGTTTTAAGCTACAGCTGTTACAAATACCCTGCAAATCAGCTTATTGTCTCAGCACGGCGTCATGTGGACTGTGGTAAATCCAAGCAATTCAAATGCTTTATTTTGACATTGCAGTCAAGTTTGGCTTCACATCATTTGACCTACGATTTGTAATGCCTGGATTTACAGCTGAAGGTTGAAAGCAGTCACCTAATGCCAGACTCCAAATGTATTAACCCCTTCCCAACACACAATCCGGAGCTAAAAGGGAAATTCACTTTTCCTTTTAACCAACACTATTTGACTGTTAATGACTGAATGCAAAGGGCTTTCTGCACTTTTTTGATTCTGAATCAGGATTAAATACAGGAACTAAAAAGCAAGTTTGATAATCAGAAATGATTTTAAAATAAATGATACTCAACACTACTTCTAAGCCACAAATCAAGTGGAGAGCACAGAGCTATGCCACTTTCTCTCTCTCTGCCCTTCTCTCTTTGGCTGAGTGAGATAGCTGTTCCTCTGGCAGAGAAATGTGCGCGAGGCCAAGCTGATAACAGCCTGCGTACAGGACTTTAATAAAGCGGACTTGCAGTCGATGGTATCGTCACCGTCCTTTGTACTCGGTGAATGATGACATGTTTTGTCCTTGCTAAGGAGGAAGAGATTGTGAAGAGAGAAAAAGAAGGGGAGGATTAAGAGCGAGAAAAAGTGGAGAGAAAGGAGATTTAGTAGATTTCTACAGCACCATTTTACATACTTACAGTTGGTCTTTGAGTATGTTATATTATACTGACCTTATAATATGACCACAGGGAATTATTAGGATTTATTTTAGTGATTGGGTATTTATAGAGAGAGTGTATCCTACGATGTAGTAAAGAGCCATTTCCTTTTTCCTCATAAAGGCAGAAGCATTCATCTAGTTTGTGCGCTTTATTCGGAGCAGAGAAAATGAGCAGTGTTCTGCAGTCCCAGTCAAATGAACTGGTAACTAGGAACTGTTGGCGGGAGGGGGACAGCCCCGAGGCTGTAGGTCAATATGCTAGCTGTCCATGTTGGCTCCATATGGGTCTAATGTGTGTGAATGTGTTTATGGGCTTTCACATTGTCTGCCACAGTCTTTATTTAATCCATTCTGACATTTAGTGGCACGATCGTTCCTTGACTGAATTGTTTCACTGTGCTGGAGGTGGTGGTGTGCTTCTTCTCTGTCTGGTCCATAGTGGGCCTTTCAGGCTTCCATACCTACCTGATCAGCTCCAACCAGACCACAAATGAAGATGTGAGTAAGAGAAATACATCCCCTACAATTCAAGTGAAGCATGAAGCATTGCTATGTTGTTGTTGTTGTTGCGGGTTTCTTTCTGGTTTTGGGTTAAAGGTATTCATTTGAAATATGTATTCCATTTACAGTCCAGTATAAATTACTTTTCCTAGAATTAGCATTGTTGTTCTTAAAGTATTCTTAAAGCTGCATTTCATAGCTTTTTCCTAACAAATATTGTGTTTATATAAGCAGAATGCAAAGGGGAACATTGCTAAACAGATACTAAAGGATACTGAGAGACAGAGTTGTCCATTATGGGCATAAACAGTTTAAAGACTAGACACAATACACAAACAGAATCTCTATGAACACAGGGTCTTGATTTGATTCCTTCCAGTGACTCATGAGATATTTATCTATGTTGTGTGTCTTCCAGATAAAAGGTTCATGGTCTTCTAAAAGAGGGAAGGATAACTATAACCCCTACAGCCATGGCAACATATTCACCAACTGCTGTGCAGCGCTGTGTGGACCCTTGCCACCGAGGTATGAGACGTGTGAATGAGTTTTTAAGAGTTGATCTATGCCTTCCCAGATGCCAATATGATGACGTATATGCCCTTTCATTCACAGCTCTAAGAAAACCCATTAATTCCTTTTTACCTTCATGTGTGATAGGTCACAGCACCTGTTATACCCCTCATCGCCGCCACCCATTTTCATTTTGCGTTTTGTCCAAAGGCAAAATTAGATCTGTTAGTCAAGGCTCCTTTTTGATGTGCCGAGCTGCTTTGAAACGAGCCTGCCTGCAGCCTTTTTCTCTATTCATAGCCACTAAGATACAGCAACAGTGGAAAGGATTTCAAGCCCATTTCAAACAAATCCAAGATCAAAGTTGGCTTGATATATTCAATTTCACACTGCTGCTGTTCATGTGATTTGTCAAAAAGACAGGCCAACTGTCACAGCTACATTGTCATGTCCATGTGACTGGAAATGTCAGTAAACATTCGCACATTCCCTCCCAGCTTCTTTCACTACAGCATTTCTCATTACTCATGTGTGAAACTGTGTTTTTTTTATTCTTGCAAGAGAAACTGCTCTTTCTTTTATATCATCCTAGTTAGACACATCTTCCTGCTTACCTGCTGGACAGCGATGCCTCCTATCTGCTCTTATCTTTACTGTCCACTGTACCCACTTTGCAGAACACTCGCAGTGACCCTGTCAAGACGTTACAAACATCTCCAGGCCTTTGGAACTTGTGGCCTTTATCTTTGCTTTGCACACGTACAAATGGGAAATTAGAGAAACACATAATATATGTGACCCGCTCTATCGAAATCAGTCGGAAGTCGCAACGGCTCATTTCAAAATAAACGTGGATTTGCCTAAATTTGCGTTCGGGTGTTTTGTTTGATTTTAAATAAACAAAGTCTTGGCTTTCAGAATATGACATTTTTATTTCCAAAATCACACGATAAATACATTTTTGAAGCGAAAATATCTTCCCTCCGTAGTATTTTGATCATTTGCTCCGCTTATAATCAATCAGATCGATGGATTCCAGAGAAGAGGAAACTTTGAAGGCCTTTCTCAAAATGATGACTCGGTGACAGTCATTATATAATGTGACATATTTTTGCTTAATATTTGGAGTACAAAAACAATCCTGATATCATTAGAAAGCTAGGAATCTCCTCTTTCCAACAGTGTATACAACTCAAAATGTGTCTTCGGGTCAATGCGACTGATTTCGATAGAGCAGGTCACATATAGTTTAGCGTGCATACAGTATCTGCTTGAACAAACGCATATATATATATATATATATATATATATATATATATCTGAAGTATAAGAAGAGCAGTGATGGAGCCTTTTGGCAACATTCCGGCTGTGCGGTTCTCTGGCCATAAGTCACCAATAATGATTTCAGTGGGTGGCAAAGGAGAGTTGTGTGTGTGTGTGTGTGTGTGTGTGTGTGTGTGTGTGTGTGTGTGTGTGTGTGTGTGTGTGTGTGTGTGTGTGTGTGTGTGTGTGTGTGTGTGTGTGTGTGTGTGTGTGTGTGTGTGTGTGTGTGTGTGTGTGTGTGTGTGTGTGTGTGTGTGTGTGTGTGTGTGTGTGTGTGTGTGTGTGTGTGTGGCGCCACTGCACAGCTGGGTCCACCACTAAGAAAGGAATGTTTCACCTAAGCCTCGGAGTATGCAGGCAATTCCACCTCTCGTGCACACAAACGTGCACAGAGACAAAAGCCTCTTGCGTTTGATTCCCTGCTGAGACCTTGACTCATGTTTTCTAATGCACCCAGCCCACATGTTTTGAGTCTCAATTCCTCTAAGCCGCATTTGCAGATGTTCCAGTATTCATTACCAGCAACACAAACCGCTGCTGTAGGTTCCCTGAGTTTGTCTCTGTGATTCCAGCAGAGCATTTTCACCAGAACCCAGCTCAGTCCCACTGGAACTCACTGTCAACACACTTCCTGTTAAATGATTACCCTGTGTGTGTGCACTGGTTAACACCTCAGCGGGCTCTGTGTGTGTATGGCTGAGGAAGAGACTGCACTGTGTCACATCAACCTTTATCCGGCTGATAAATTGCCAGTATTATCACATACATTTGGCCCATGAACACACACATCTGCAAAGCAAGGGTCCAGCAGGTATTTCTCTAACCAGCTGTGTCAGAGTTCTGCAGCTTTAATGACGGGACAAACACTATTCGCTCCACTGCAGGACCTCTGTGATTTATTACCTATAGTGCTCATCTTATGTGTGTCTATGTAAGTGGACTATTAGAGTTTGCAGAGGCTTGCACACAATAGTACAACACACATCCACTTGCATGCTATTTTCCATGTGGTACCACTGACACACAAGCACTCCTCCTAACCTTCCCACCTAACACTGAGTCGACCTGAGCCTGCAGTCAGTCATTGTCATACTGTTTAGTCTGTTACAGTGGTGACAGTGCTCTACTGTGTTTAACCACACCTTTCTCCCCTCTTTGTTTCTCTCTCACTAGCCTCATTGACAGACGGGGCTTTATCCAATCAGGCAAGCCGCAGCTGGCACCACCACCCAATGGCATCCCCATGTATGGCGCCACCCAGTCTCAGCAGAGCCACATGGTAAGACACTGACCTGACTCTGATCTCTAAGATATTACTATAAGGTACGGTATAAAAGTAAAAAGACTGAGTTATTACGAGTCGGAGGTTCATAGTTGTGTTTAGAGAGCAGAGGTGGGCGGGTCACTTGCTGGATGAAGTTTAAGGAATAGAAAAGTTGTTTATTAAAGTGATTGGAAACTTTGATTTCGGACTTATTAACATCTTAGTTTAGTAATAACCTGAAGATTTCAGTCCTGGTTGATTTGGCGAAAAAACACATGGGTCACCGAATCGAAGAAGACGGCTACCTTTACTTTTATTTGTCGAAAATACAACAGAGGAGCAACAGATGTGCCGAGGAGTTGAATAGCTAAGAAACATTTTTAGTAGTCCTTAGTTGCTTGGTGGATCTCCAGCTGTTGTCTTTGTTAATTTTCCAACAGCAGAAAAGCAACTCTAACAAATTGAGGCCCGTGAACTAAGCCCAGGAGTCAGTTTGAGGAATTCAAAGTACAGTACGGACACAACGGCTCGTTTTATTAAGTATCTGATCGTCCTGGTAAACATTGGCTATTGGTTTAAGGCCTGGGTTGCGTTCCGATAATCCAAAAATCAACTCCTAAGTTCTAACCCTATCTCCTATTCCTTGATCTCTGAGTGAAATGTCACGGGGTTAAGGGATAGTGGATAGGAGAATTCAAAAGGACTTAGGAGAAGAGACTGCGGGGTTGCGTTCCAATAGTCCATTTAGCTTAGGAACCTTCCTAACCGAGTGAAATGACCCAGAAGTACGTCACTGGCAGCCATGATAAGTGCCGTTCCAATTCTCCAAATGAAAGGAAAGGAGGTTTCAAACTTCCTTTATAACCAGGGCTGCACATAACTGGTGCGCATGCACACCTCCGCCAAAAAAAGAGCACCGGGTCATTTGAAACAAAGCGCATTTGCGTACCAACATTGAGAGAGGGAGAGAGAGAAGGGAGAAGAGAAAAGAGAAAATAGAGGAGAGAGGAGAGATGAGAGAGAGAAGAGAGAGAGAGAGAGAAAGATATTTGCGAGTTGCATACATGTATGAACCATGATATGAACTCAGGGCCGGCCCGTAGCACTGGCTAGATGTTCGCCTAGGGCGCCAGATCTGTGGAGGCGCTGCGCTGGCAGTTCTGGGAGGGAAAAAAACATTTTGACCGTTGGGGCTCATCCTAATTTTCGGCCTTGATGTAACAATATTCATAATTAAGTAAATGTAACACCCTTTTCACCCCGGTTCCACGTTTCATTTGCCCTGTACGATGGGCGCTGTAAGTGATGAAAATGGGGGATGTTGGCTTATCTGGCGCCCGCAGCTCACAGCCAAAATGCGAGTGAGCGAGGGAGGGTGCACCGGTACCAGCGCTGTTGTTATTAGAATCTGGTGCTAGCTGCTCTAACGGATATAAGAAGAAGATGTTTCTACAATAATGTGGAGGGAGAGTCCCCTCCAGTCAGACTGAGAGGCTGATACTACAGCTCAGTGAGGTAAAGTCTAAGTTCAAACGGTTTGGTCGCAATTTTGTAAACACATATTTCCAAGGCACTCCTTTATAATTATTGGGATAAACAGGTTTCAAATCATTCCAATGTATACTATAGGACAGTAACCAAAAATATCCTTTAAAACTGGAGAGATAAAAAAAAAGCATAAATAAATAAATGTTAAGGTAAAATAAGATATGAATGAACAACACAAATAAAATAAGTTACATTCATTTGTTATTGGCTATGGTAGGTTATTGGTTATGTTCACATACTTATTTGATTACATCCACTTGTCTAAGATGACAACAGAGACTTTCGACCCAAACCCAGCTGTTGACTTGTGGATGCAAGCAGCTAATCACAGACTCAACCAGAGAGGAAGAAGTAGGCCTACATCATCAGCTACCATGTCTGACAGAGAGGAAGACAGTGAGGAGAACAGTCAGGAGGGTAGTGATGCCAGCTTGTAGGATTACTGGTCGTGCTAATGTTGTCTTGTGTTCACCTCTGCACGTGTGTTCTGTGTTCACCTCTGTGTGTGTGTTCTGTGTTCACCTCTGCACGTGTGTTCTGTGTTCACCTCTGCATGTGTGTTCAGTGCCGTGTGTCTGGCAAATAAAGTCAAGACCCCCTCAAAAGTTACGGTTTATTTCATTTTAAGGATGAGCACCAAGCAACATCTCCAGGTGCTCCTTTGAGAACCAGGGCAAAAAAGTTATGTGCACCCCTGTTTATAACCTTCTTTAGCTTAGGAACCACTGGACCTCCCTAACCGAAAGGAGAGGAGAAAATGCTGCCCCACAATGCATTGCAGCCGCAGCATTTGACGTCACACAACAGTCGGCCGTTCACGGACACAAATGATTATGACCGGGAAATGATATCATGAAAGTTACGGTGCTTATTACGCATTTTAAAACGTATGTGGTAAGTTGCCAAAGTGCTTTGTTTTGAACGTTCATCAGTATTATAATCAAAAAGAGAAATATGAACGTTAGTTTTTACTGAAATGATCAAATAAAGTCAACATTTCACTGAGCTGTGTGGGGTTTGTTCAACTTTTAAAAGATGTTTGAATGGTGATATACACAGTGATAGGTGTTAAGGACTAACGTTTATAATAAATACATTTGTATTGATTTTAAGATCTTTTAATAGTTCATACAGTCATACGTATTGGGATCATTTGTATTAATGTGGACCGGAGGGAGAGGGTGACGAGCATACGTTTCACTTTCCTTTTTTATTTCAATTCCAACTTTGGTCATGAAGAATATGTTTCTCTGTTGTCCACGTTCATAAAGCATAAAGCAACAGCATCAGAGCACGGTGCAGAGTCTCTAGATGAGTCCGTGGTTCTTATTAAACATTAATGTTGTAGTCCGCTGTATAGAAAACTGTAGTTTCCATGGTTACCCCACAGCAGCAGACACACATTCATGACGTCCGCTGGCGCATCATAAACACGTCGGATAGTGAAAGTGCATTCGGATTCTCTAAGCACCGCAGTCTCTTCTCCTAAGTCCTTTTGAATTCTCCTATCCACTATCCCTTAACCCCGTGACGTTTCACTCAGAGGTCAAGGAATAGGAGATAGGGTTAGAATTTAGGAGCTGATTTTTGGATTATCGGAACGCAACCCTGGCCTTGATAACGTGGCCTAGGCAAAGAGGCTAAAGGCCAAATGATGTTTTACATTACAAAAAACAGCCTCACTTAAACCTCAACAAGCCGCAGAATCAGAAACGCAGCACCTTTGTCTCTCTCTATCCAGACCGGGAAAGCAAACACAGATAGTCATTCTCATCCAACCTGATTGAAAGTGATGCAATTGCTCTGGGTTGCAAAAATGAGCAGGAATCTGAGGGACATCGTGTTTAATGCATCAGACCATTTTGTACAAACTCACAATCTCACCACAGTGAGTAAACAGACATGTCCAGTGAAACTGTCGCGTGCGGTGTCAGAGAGAATAGCCATTGTCGTGAAGAGGACATTGCTGTGACCTCACTGACCAGTTTCCCTCTGGTGCCTGAAGAGGAGCAACAAGTCTACCTTTGTTCAGCTCAGCGGTTTGCCGCACACATTACGTGCTAGATTTAAGCTTATACACACACAGCTACTAACACTTCTCTCACGGGTGCCCACAGTCATCTCGTTGTTCTCATCCATACTCAACTGTCATCCGTCTCCAGGTCCTGAGCCACGTGCGGACTACCTGTAATGGGCTGGAAACCATAGGGACGTTCCCTTACGTTAGCACATTCAGAAATAACTGCCTTCTGCTTTTTCTAGCGGATGAGCAGCCAGAGTTGTCCTATTGTGCCGGCTGCTGGCCATTTATCCGCTCCCTGATACAGCTGTTTACGTAATATCCATTTGTTAAGCCTTTAAAATGCTACTTGTAACACATAAGGACTGACTATTGATGCTACTCACTTTATTGCTATGAAATATCGCTCTTGAAAAACCAGCTGCTCATTTCAGGGCATTATATTGTGACATCACGTAGATTTTAGAGAGCCTGCTGATTTAGTGAAATCATTCAAACTGCAATAAAAGTGTGTGAATGTTCATGAAGTGCGTATAGCACGCTTAACTTTAACATACCAAAGACTCAATGGGCTGTAGCTGCGGTGGTATTAGGCCAATCACACGTTGCGTTAAGTTGAAGAATGCATGCAGTGATTGGGCGAGTGTTTCAATGCTTCTGGGTGATTTTGGTAGGTCCCTTTTTTATAAGAAAATATCAATACGGATTCCCAGCCTTACCAAACATAAATGATGTATTTTTTATAGAACAATATTCTTTAGACACAAGGATTATTCGACTGATTTAAAAGGAAATGGTCATTTCTGTTGCATCTTGGGTCACAGGAGGTAATTAGGAGTTACAAGAATATTGCTTTAGGAAAGAGGAGTTTATTTTGCAAGTGTAATATTTCAATTATGTCAGAAATGTTTTCTATTTTAAATAAACCTGCCTAAATCTGCATTGGTAGATCTGACTGAAAGCTTGTGAGAAAATGTGTGCTGCACTGTGTTGGGCAAGTTACTTCCAAAATGTAATACAGTACATATGACTTATTACTGTCTTTTTAAAGTAATAAGTTAGATTACAATATTACTGTCTCTGAAATGTAATGAGTTACACTACTTTTATATTACTTTTGAGTTACTTTCAGCAAAAGAATGGCTAGGTATTTTAAATGCTAAAATGTAGTTTAGTGCAGCTCATTATACATCCAGTGAAGGGCAATGTGGTATAGCATAACACCTGCCGACCGCCTCGCTGCACATGATCCCTTACGTAAACACCAGGCTTACTAATCTACCCGCAAACATTTTCTCTGGTGTCGTAATGTCCCACGATGTTGGTGAATAACATTTTTATTTTTTAAAACACCACTTAATTTCGGGTTAAAAATGTGTTGTAACGTGCGTTAGTGAGTATTGTAACGGGTATTATATTACCCAAATGTCATCAGTAATGCGTTTACATTACTGCAAAAAGTAATACATTACTGTAACTCCGTTACTTTTGTAACGCGTTCACCCTCACACAACTCATACTACACAAACTGCTTTGGCCTTGTAAATATTTCTATATTTAGCCTCGTCTTCCTTCCTTTTCTTCTTTCTCTGTGACTGCCTGGGGACTGACAACCCACAGCCTCAATTTCAGTTTCACCTCTGCTGTCAGCTGAATGAATGCGGGTACCAAACTTGGTTTATTTGTTCCCATAGGAGTTTGATACGTTAGGTATTTGTCAGTTTACCAAAGACGAAATAATACAAATGCACCAATTAAGTGCCAGCCACATGGACAATATGTCATCAGTCACAGAACACAATGTGTTGTTAGGCAAAACACAGACGGCCGCAATCTCCCATCTCGAGAGGTGTTCAAACATGGAACATAAATGGTGTCCGTTTGGGGACAGTTATCCTTTATTTGTTTCAAGGTTGGGATCATAAATAAAATAAAACTGTAATTGATCCTTTCACAAACGCCTCATTAAGTTTGCAACATTGGACAAACTGACTGGAAAAAAAGTACTACAACATATCATCATTTTTATTAATTATGTTGTGTGAGAAAATTGTAAAAAGATGCAAAGGCACCCCTCCCACACATAAAGATATCAGAGCCTGTACATTAAGTTGGAAAAAGGTGATTCTTCCATATTATATTTTTGACATGTCATCTCAACCTGTGCACAGTTCTGTCATCTAATCTAGTTCTAACGTATAGGATCAAAAGAGCTCTCTTATCCTTGTTGTGTCATCACCACCATGTGTGAAAGCATACCAAAACATGTCCTGAGCTACTTCACTTGCTATCTGCTATCCAAGGTTAGTCCATCCGCAGTCTACGTACATATTGTTCCTTGAGGTGTGTGTGTCTGTGTGTCTCTGCCGCGGGGGATGCACAGTGCTGAGTCAGACCAGCTTTGACTGTTTATCAAACACGAGTGGGCCTGAAAGTAGAAAGAAAGGGACCACGCGCTGTTTCCACACTGATGATGTAGCTCTGTGCTAACGTGGCTTTGAGCGAGGTTTCCGTGTCATCTCAGTCCAATAACCCTCGCTCAAATGAGCCTGATCATCAACCGGGATGGAGGCCAAGCTTGTAAAAGCGACAAGTCAAGAGCAGCTGATACTAGGATTGATAACACTTAAAATAACATCTCCTACTGTCAAAGGTAGCTCAACTTCTGTTTAAATCACAACTGCAATCTGCTCTTTTAGGCCGCTGAGATTGAGACAGAAAGGTGAGATGTCCAGGGCCGATGTTTGTGCTTGACATGTCTTGTTAGTCAGACTTTGGGAATGGCGTGTGAGGAAAGGAGGCGTTAAAGAAATGATTAATTGTCTGGCTTGTATGGCATGCAGGGATAAATGACTTACAGGGTTGAAGCGATTCTCCCCTCGGCTAATGTGTGGTATTGATGATTGGCCGCATCCTAACCCAGTTACTCTGCTCCAGTTTTAGACGTGCAATTTCCACTAAAGCAAGGCAGTGGAGAGCGATAGGTCATGAGGCTGTGACTTCATTGTCCAGTGTTTTTTACCCTCTGTTTTTTAACCGGCACAGATGCACGAGTTATTGCAGGTTCTTAGTATTGCTCCGTATTCTAACCAGACTACTTACAACTTTTATTTTCTCTCTCTCTCTCTCTTATCCAATCACCTCCCCCCTCCTCTGCTGTCCCTCCGGTGTGTCATTTCTTCTTGCCTCATCCATCTAATTTCCAACACCGCCTGCTCTGTTATTCCTTTTCTATTTCTGTCTTTCACCTCCTGCATGTCTCTCTGACTTCACATCCCCTCCTGTACTCTGCTCTGCTCACTGCTTCCTTTCAGTGTGACCAAGATCAGTGCATTCAGAGCACCAAATTCGTTTTGCAGGCCGCCGCCACCCCTCTCCTCCAGCCGCAGAGCAGCGATCCAGTCATCCTGACGGCCTCGACGGAAAACGGGGGCCCTCTACCCGGCCGCACCTCCCTCAACCTGGGCGGCCCGTGCACCTCGCTCCCACTCGGCCAGCCCACTCCTCCGACGTCCACCCCCAGCCTCAGCTGCCACGAGGCCTCAGACATGTTGCCAATCCACGGACACAGCCACGCACACAACCACGGCCACACCCTGCAGGAGCCAATGGCCCACCACCACTTCCTCACCCCCGAGGAGGTGCCCTCGCCCCCTGGCATGCTTCCCTGCGGCAGCCCCATGGGTCACAGCCACACTATGCAGGCCGGCTTCTACAACCCAGCCAGCCAGGACTCACTGCACGAGGACTCTGTGAGAGGACTGGTGAAGCTCAGCTCTGTCTGACACCGGGATGTCGTCCCCCCTCCACCCCCTAACTCCTCAGAACCATGAAACTCTACTGTGCCACATCTGGACCCGCTCTCTCTCACTATTTTTCCTTTCTCTTCTCAGCGGGACTTGATAACGGAGAAAGGCTGTGGTTTAAATTCAGCTGCTAGAAACTGTGGAATTTAACTGAAGTGAAACCAGTGTCTTGCCAAAGCTCTCCGATGAAACATGGAGAGATGTTTTCTAATGTGGCTCTCGTGACCTGTGACAGAAAAATGCTTCTTTTTTCTACTAAAAGGGAAGATGGAAACTGGACGGGGGTGTTCCTTCTTCAAAGCGGCGTATGTCTGTGAGCCACGTTGAGCAAAAAAAGAACAGTACATGACATTTTTGGTCAAAATGATGAATATCTGTCAATGCATCACGTTTTTGTGACATTTTTTTTGTTGTAATACTGACTCTAACCTATTTGCCTGTTGCTGATGGACAGTGTATTTTGCCTTTTTTCTCAGCAACAATGGTTGATGTCCTCATGTTGCATATCATTCTGCTTTTTCTATGTTCAAAAAGAGACTGTTGTACTGTACCATGGTTATTACAAATCTTACAAATGATTATATTTTCTGTGGACATTAATAAAACACCAACTTTGTATCAGTTGCGAATGCATTGATATTAAGGTTTAGAAGGCATAATGTGTGTGAATGTGATCATAACAATTCCTCTAAAGTGAATCTTGTGACCAATGCCTCTGGTCACAAGGTGTCAATGAGAGAGATTAAAACATAAGCTTGTTGGATGAATACTGCTAAACATTTATTATTTTAAAACAATGTTTTTTTTAGACTTTTCTGTCTCCTTTTTTTCTGACTGAAGTCTTCAATGTCTCCATCCTTAAAGAAAGGTTAAGATTAAAACAAGGACTCAATCAAGAGCTCAGTAAATGGCAGTGGTTGGTGAAGGTGCTTGGATAGTTAGTCAGTTAATCAATACTTAATTATCTTCCACCACCTTGTGGTTAAGTACAAGTACTGCAGTTAAAAGTCTAGTTATTTTTTACATTAAACAACATTTTACATAACTATCAGACATGTCAGTCATCAAGTGCAGACCCTTACATTCAGACGAATGGAACTTTAAGCAGCAATAATCAATATTCATGTCAACTTTAAAAAGTTGACCCAATGGCAACATGTTATGTGAAGGGGATGTCCGTTTGAATAACACTGTGTACCTCCCTTTCAGCTCTTTTTCCCCAGCCTGTAACTTAACTTCCTGTCTCCTCTCATCCAACTAGTTTTAAATGCAACAGGTTAAAGTCAAAGTGATTTGTTTGGCTACTTGGCTAGCATAAGAAGGTTATCAGAAAAAGTTAGCAATGTTAGCTGGAGCAGGAAGTCAAGCATTTAGCTCAAGACTGTCAAAAGACCCAGAGGAGAGAAAAGCTCCTTCAAATATATCAAAGCCTTAACACTCTACAAATAGATATTGAAATCGGATGCATCTGCAAGAATAGAAGTTCCTATATTTTTTTATTTAAAATTAGTAAGTAGCTTGGTTTCACTGTCTGAGTGTCTCCCGCATTTGCATCTTTATCTCGTGCACCTGGCTCAAGAAAGTACGGTGGTCACGTGAGTGCATGTGATTGCAGCCGAATGATGCAGGGTCTGTCAATGTGAAAATAATCGTAGTGTTGTGTTTACAGCCTGTTGCGTTCCCTAGGGGCCAGTAATATTCATAAAAGGAGTTTGAACTCAAACCATTTAGACTTGTGGATACAAATGGTAATAGTAACACATTTATTCATTAATAAATAATTGATGATACATAGGGGTTATTATTCATACATATTTTACAACAATTACAACAGACAATGCAAAAAAACATTGACATTGGAAATAAAATATACAGTTTTTTAAACATTGCTCATTGTAGCACTGAGTTGAGCAGTGACGGAGAGATGGACACAGATTCTACTTTATTCTACAGCTTGCATAAAGATTGCGATGGACATTTGTTTGGTTATTGAAATAGTTATATTATAACGGACCCTGTACTGTTCTGTGCTTGAGTTCTGCTACACCATTGACATGTTAAATTGATTTAAATTTCCAGTGCATGGGACCCTATCACGAGTCCTGAAGATTACAACCTTTATAGCAGACTGAATTAGAAAATAAACAATGCCCTGAGTAGGCATGTCCTATTAAATTAAACAAGAAAATACTGATGAAAACTATTTAACGTTTTTTTTTTTTAAAAAGGTGATGAGAATTGTTACAAAGCTTTTATTATGTGCAATAAATCCGTTTGTATTGGGCCTGGCTCCAGAAGAATGGAGCACTTCCATTTTATTCATGGTTTGTTTTTGCTGACTGTCTTAGCATTTGAAGCCAAGTGCTTTTAAACATTCACATATTTCCTGTTTTAGATATACAGTGCACTATCACAGCAGAGATGCACTAGAGACGGTATAAGAAATGAACCAAGGCAAACCTAACTTGTAGCTGTAAACAGTCATGGCTCAGGCCGACGCTCCAGCACAGCTAACTCTCATGCATCAGACGTCTAGCCAGGGCTGGAAACATGGACCATCAATACTCCATGGCAGGGCCTGTCTTTATGGTCCTTGGTCACCTAAAAATGCTAGACTAGCTTAAAACCAGTGACCTGTGGTTGCTGCAAGACTTTCCCGACCTGAATCAGACCAGGGTTTGCAGTTTCCAGCCACATTGTATGAGTCATTGTGGCTAAGCTAATTTAGCATGGATAACCAGAATGGTGTCCGTAACGCTGGCTTCAGAGTGAGTCTAGACTCTAGAGTCCCGAGTCGGAGTCACCACAGTTTCACATCATCGAGCTCCAGGTCGCCCATGATCTCCAGCTGGTCGATGCTGCCCAGGTCCTGCACCCGATGTCTGAACTCAAACAAGTGTGAGCCGTTCACTGCCAGCTTGAACTGGTGAGGCTGACAGAGGATGAGAATCTGACCAAACCAAACACTCAGGCGTTATTACAGAGCACACAGACATAGTGAGAAATGATCACTGATAGACTTCTGTTTACGTTAACGTCCAACAGACCTGGCGTCGTGGGAGGGCCCTCCCATTTTACATTCCTGCCCCCAAATTATTTTAATTTGTTTAATTATAAATAAACTGTGAACTTCAATGCTACGATGTATGTGATGTCAGATAGTAACACTGGTAATATAAGAGTAATAAATGAAAAACAGGTATGAAATACTATATGACAGTAAAACGAGAATAGTTTAAAAGGGGAGTGATTTGTAAAATATCCATATAAAAAATATAGTAAATCTGTTTACAGTTCTGTTTCATATGGGTGTTGAGAGATGTATCCATAGATCTCTTAATGTTGCTCTCAAAGTGCACTAGATTGATGCTTTTAACTTCAACATTTAAAATAATAATAATCTTCCCGGGGAGCATGCACCCGGACCCCCCTAGAGGAGGTTAGGTCCACCCCACTTAAAAAAAATAGCACTTTGCCTCTGCTTACACCTATATGCCGTGAGCTGATTATCGAGCCTTCATTGTAACAGATGCGTGTGTACTGTGTATTTGCGTGGGGAGTGTTGCAGTAGAAAGTTCCACTGTAGCGCCCGGTACATTAATGGGAAACCCTACATGTTTGAGCACCCTCTATGAAACGTCAAGCTACCCCACAGCACCCCCAAAAGAAAATCTCTGGCGCCGATACTGGCCGCGGCACATGCCGGTTTTGTGTGCCCTCCCATGAAAATCATATGCCCTCTCTGTAGACTTGTTCTGGCGCCGGTCTGACGTCCAATACAGAAGCCAAATACAATTAAACTGTATGAGTTGTAGGCAGTTCACCCCCAAGGTAATAATAGTTTAGATTGTTACATTTTTTATATTTATATTTTATCAGTGCGTTTAGGTTTTTAGTTTTGTAACATAAGCTTAATATACATCCGAAATACATGTTTGTGTAGGAAAAGCTGTAATGTTTAAATGTTTTGATTGAGTAGTCAACTAAAGTTTTATTTTACTGTGAAGAAAATATGTCCCCCTATATTTAATCCCATTTTTAAAACCGGGCAATTTGGTTTTAGATTTTCCATATTTTTCACTGATTTATTCTTTCTTTTTTTTTTGATAATAACCCTGGTTCATACCTCAAAGTATTCCCCTGACAAGAAGGGGAAGTACGGCAGCTCCCGCTCCTCCTGACCCCAGGACTCACTCAGATACGAGTTCCTAATGAATGCACCCGACTTCATGTGAGGGTTCAGATGCAGAGCGATGTTCTCCGTCCGGCTGCTGCGGAGGTTCACTGTGAAACTGGGAGAAACGGTGGATCAAAGGTAAATCTTTTTATTTCTTTATTTTGTATGTATGTACCTGAAATGTGCCTTAGTAGTGTGAACATATTAGTGACTAGTGAGACATGCATCAGATTGCCTGTATGACTTTACCTGTGAGGGTACATGCTGACCTGGCCTTTGATGGTGATGTGCTGCCCGGGGCTCAGTCCTTTCAGGATGCTGCCTT